CGCGTAGCGCCTCGTTGGCTATCTATCATCTCCTATCCAACGCGCGCTCGTGGAATAATTGTTAAATAGTAAATGTAAGTAATGTCCCCGGCCACCACAGACATTGCTGCCATTTCATAAAACCCTTTTGACACTTATCTTCTATTTCAACATCTTTATAAGAAAATAATTCTTTTCCAAATGTTTCTAGCTCCCTGTAAGAGGCCGTGGTCTTTTTTGCAATTGCTTGATAGGTGGCTAAAACAATTCATTATTCAACGGAAAGGTTATGGGTCAAACAGACACCTTCTTCGCCGATGGCAACGACATATTTCTCTTTATAACAAGTACTTCTACGAAATACATAATATGTTTTTTCTTAAATTCAGAACAGACTGTCAAAGCGTATGATATAAATTATTATTACAGATAGATAGGGAATATTATTCCATTATTCAAAAAAGTATGCATACCTCACACATTAAAAGAACAGTTTTTTACGAAGCTAGCGATACTTTTAAACAACTGTCGTTAATTGAAGTACTTGTGAATACTTCCTACTTAATTCTGGTCCATAATTTACAATTTCACAAGCAAATTTACAAAGTTTCCGTAGCAACTCATTGGGTTTTCCGGTTGTTATACCAATTTGCAAATGATTTCCTTCCTTAATGGGCCCGGGAGGGATCTCAATTTTGACAAAATCATGCGTGTCATTATCCCCTCATGATAGTCTTCATCATTTGACAACACGTTTTCAATGTTAAGATTAGTGTTACGTTCGAACAGCCAGACTGATTCCAGACTGTTACATTGTAATAGGCGTCTTTACTGTTTGATCTCAAAATCTTTACTGATCTCACTGAACATCGGTAAAAGAAGGTCAGTGAAGATTCGTATCAAAGGATTGATTTGAAAGATCAGGCAAAACTCAATCCTAGGCTTCCAGAAGATATAATCATCTGGAATTATTTCTAATCGTTTTAGGTTGTACAGTGTGATAATTGGTCTCTGCGATATTGTGACCTTTCCTTAAGACCCTGGTGAAAAAGTATAACGAGTGAGACTCGACTTCTGCAAAAAAAAACTTTCTTCATTATCTCAAGTTTTAGAACCCTATCTGTAGTTTTCAACTCTAAAATAGCACAGACCTCAGTTAATGTAATAGATGACGGAAAGAAATGATGGCTAAAAGAAAACCAAATGAAAAATAAGATGTGTGACTTTTGTGTTTTTCAGAACGTTAAAAAATTAAACATTTACACTTTATTTGGCCTTTTAAATGAGTGCTATCAGTCAATTAGAATGCCAATCAATGAAAGCTGAATTTATAGTGCCATTATCATATTAGATAAACGTTTTTTTTACTTCAGGAACGAAATAGTCACTTGACCATGACCAGCGTTGTTAAAACAACATTCATTGTCCTGGTTGTTTCCATTGTTGTAAGAGCCTCCCCCACCCCCACAGGAATCAGGAGTCCCTTTTCCACTGCTTCCCCCTGAATATCCTCCTCCTCCTCCTCCTCCTCCTCCTTCTCCTCCTCCTCCCCATCCATAGCTTCCACCACCTCCACCAAACCCACCATCGACATAGTAATACCTGGCTCTTCCACCCGCTCCTCCCTGATTAAATCCCTTACCACCTTCTCCACCCAATCCTTTTATTCCATTAAAATTCTTTCCACTTCTTCCACTTGAATAAAACCCGCCACCACCACCACCTGGAAAACAATGAATAAATTTCAATATTTTTGTAAACTGAAGCGAAACTATATTTAAATGGGATGCTAACCCATTCGATTTTTGGAATTTTTTACTAGTATTGTAAAACGCTTCAGTAAACCCATATCAGTTTGGCCAAACCTTACGTAATGTATTTTAATTGAGCCGCTATCCATGAGGTTTGATATTTGTGTATAGCATCTGTAATACCTAGTTGTATAAACTGTTTTGTCTTACTTCCCTTGTCCAACATACTATAAGTTGATTTAACGCAGTACCTAATGCTAAATTGCAGGTTTATGCCTGATGATTATTTGACCAGTACGGCCCCACGCGCATAATCCCATTAAAAACCGTCAAAGTGAAAGCTGACGTGTGTAAGGTTGAACGAGTTAATGAACGGTGAGTTTCTTGTTCTGACACGAAAAAGCAAATGAATTTTTTATTCCTCCAGGATCTTTATTGTGATTGTTCAGCGTGCGCTCTTGCACCGCCTCCTATTTAGGTTGAAACCAAATTTTCAAAGTGATCATATGATAAGATGCTTGTTAATCGAGTTTGGTCGGGCTGGATGGGAAAATATTTGGCTCTCGGTCAGGAGGCACGGAACGTGCTACATTCGGTCCGTACGTCACGACCTCGAACCAAATGATTTCTGTTCTTCCGCCAACACAGGTACCGCTACCCTGACTCGTCTTTACAGTAAATATGACGTCTACGAGGCTCTCAATTGGGTTAACCGTCAACCGTCAAATGGCAAAAATATTAACCGTCAACTGTCAAAATCGCAATATTTTGCCGTCAACCGTCAAATAAGCAGGCCAATATTAGCTGTAAAATGTCTCAGATATCCTTAAATAAGAGTCATACTATTGCCTTAATTGGGATCAAGTTCCATTTTTTACGAATAAAATTTTTGATAATCACAAAAAGACGTTTATGTAAGACCTTTAACTTCTATTCGCTAGTAAAACTGGTTAGCGACAGAGCTGACTTCCGATTTGTAAACACCTCCGGTGTCTTAAAACTTTGGTAAGTTATCAATAAAAGGTGTCATAAATGAACAGTTCTTTACAAACGCGTCATCATGAAAATCTACAGCCAAATTCGCGTTTAGTTTGGTATCTAAACGACATTCCAAAAAATGTTATGCTTATAGTTGCTAAAGTGATGGATGCTTTGTCGAATATTGATCCAAGTAAGGCCGGTAGACCAGATGATATCCCCGGTTCACTCCTAAAACATACTGCTGCTGAAATTGCCCGTTCATTATGCAGGCTCTTTAACATGTCGCTGCCTACGGGCTGTTTTCCAGCAAATTGGAAGCGCGCGAACATTGCACCCGTCTTTAAAAAGGGCGATCCTACACTAACGTAGAATTACACGCTAGTTTCTCTTTTATGCATTGTCTCTAAAGTTATGGAACGATGCGTGTTTAATCACTGCTACCCTCATTTATCGTCTTTTCTTCACCAACTCCAATAGATGTGCCTCCCTGCTGCAAGCTGACTTGAACAACTCCGAAACTTGGTGTGTGTGACGAATCCGCGCCACAAAGGTGGGTGCCCCCTAACACAAACAAAACATAGAACATAAACGAGCCCGAGAACACACGCCACAATACAACTAAACGTAGGCCTAGAGATATTTATTATGCTAATTACAACAATAAAGCGACTAACAATAACGATAGTCCAAT